TAGTACGACCAGGAGCCCCTACTAGCGTCCTTGCTCCTAGTAGTACGGCCAGGAGCCCCTAGTAGCGTCCTTGCTCCTAATGTGTTTTACTAATGACTTTTTCTACTTCTAGATAAAGTAATTGACGGTCCGGAAGGGACGAATCACGCAAATGATCGAAGGACTGTTTTCTCGGGACTCGGGACCATGGGAGAAACCTCTGAGAGCCACAAAACCCGTCAGGTTCCCGGAAGAAAGAAAATAAAGAAGATGTGGATCACTGCAATATTCATTTTATATCTCATCAATACACGTTGAGCGCCCTCATAGCCTTAAACCACCGCACCGGGGCTGACGGCACATCGGGCAACGGATAGGACCTGGCAATGCCCAGGTGGGGTGGGGCTGCTATGGGCCGCTGAGGCCCCAAGACTTGGAGGTGTCTTGGCTCGTGAAACCGCCGAAGCAGCTTAGGACAGATTTCTTGATGAACTTTAGTCTACTCTCTTCTGACTGGATTACAGCCAAGCTTAGACTCCAGAAGGGCCAGGTCAGGCCTCTCCATCCTTGCTTCACAAGGCACTTCTTCCAACTCCCGTTGATCACAAACGTCCAAGCCCACAGGGCCTGCTTTGGTTGTGAAGGACCTCAGATTGGCTGCTAGTGACCAAAAAAGGCCTCGGGGCTCGCTGTGTTTCGCAAGTTTGTATGTTTGGCCCAAGGCCCAAGAAACAAAAGTTACATGACCACCATACTACACTAAGGGCCTTTGTCAGTCGCCTCTGTTCTCTGAACTTCTGAGGCCACTTGCCTCCAGGTTTGAAGATTTGTCTCCACTAAACTGGGGTAAACTAAACAATGCCCTTACAGCCAAAGAACTATCCATTCATTTCCCTGGCACTCGAAGGACACGTTGGGAGCCACATCCCAAAACTGCCTCAGTTGCGAAGCAAGCGATCAACTGAGACTGCAAATCAGCACATTGATCCTCGAACATGGTTTCATGATTCTTGATGCATCGGGCAACGGACCTCACTGGGGGCTCAAGCGGGAGTTCGTGTGGTATGCGTCACTGATACCAAAAAATCACAAACTGTCACGAACCCCACCCAAAAAGAACTGAATTCTGCTTGCTTGACATGTTGAGCCAAGAGGAACACAAACAAGGACTCGGCCAAGGTGCCCATTCCATCCCACACACGAGGCTTGGCTCAACAGGTGAGGATCGGTGACGTCGCCCACCTTGCAGCGATTGGTCGTGGTCTTTCATGACATCATGTCTCAAGCTTCCTTCCTACCGTTCTTGCAGGATTCTCAGACCACCGACCCAGTGTAAAGCTGCCACAGTTTTGTTGCATCGTGGTTCAACATTGCTTGGACCTTTTCCCTTGGGCCCGTATCCTCCCGGTGAGTGGTCTCCGCAGATCTTGCTGATTTCGCTTCATCTCTTACCGAGGGTATTGTTCATAACTTCTAGAAGGGTCACATCTGGTGCTCTTTTCCATCATGTTACCTGGCACAAAGGCAAGAAAGCCAACTCTCTCACACACTCTCCCATCCAAGACACACAACGGATAGCACCATAGCCGCCCTGCTGCAAACGAGGGCTCACCCACCAGCTGAGCGTGGTCTGATCCCAATAGATGATGGCACCTGCAGCATGTAGATCGTTGAAAAAAGGGACAAGAGGAACAAGTTCGGTGCAAATGACCCAACTACCGCAAGAATGGCTTGTCTGCTAAACAGCCATTCGGGTGTCGCAGCTCCGGGGAAAGTAGCCCATTGGGCATTGGGCCTGACTTTCAAATTGATGTCACACCTCAAGTGTCACTAGCTCGAGCCTTCCGGTATGCTTTTCTGGTCCCAGCGGCCTGAGGCTTCCCGGTACACGGTCCGGCCCTCTTTGGTCTCGCCCATCCTCAGTGGCCCCAAGCGCTAGCAGGTCCTGGTGATGCTCTAGCTTGATCTTTGTTTTTTGCCACAAGGTTCGGCAGCCCGGGGCTCGCTGAGTCACTGAGGTGACGTTGCCAGAACCAAAAAAACAAAAGACAAAAGATGCTATCAAACAAATCATCCCCTCAACTCAACAACTTAGTTTTTTCCCACTGGCATTCTTTCGCATTCTTTGTACATTCACCCAAAGATGCAGCTGAGTTCAATGTCAAGAGGAGCTCAACTCAACCCGGAGCCTGTGAGAGCTGTGGTAGTCTGAGCAACTGCAAACTATGAGTATGTTCCTGAGTTTGGCTACTAGTAGCTTCTTGTTACTAGTAGTAATGCCCTTGTTACTAGTAGCGATGCCCTTAGCTACTAGCATTTGGAAGACCAAAAAGAGAATACCATTGATTTTGACGTCAGGTGAAGCCTTGAAGCATCGGGCGGTCTGGTTCCCCGTTGCCACTGTCTCCTTTGCCAAACCGCAAGTTCCAGCGGTGAAGCTACGGTAATCACCACTCTCTCCTGATCTTTACAACCCCTTCTTGCGCAAGAGACTGAGTGAAACCGCCCCAGCCCAAACCATTGGAACTCAAAAGAAAACAGGTTCATCATATCAATCGCGAAGAAGGAAGCCAAACAGACTAAAGTGACTAGTGGGTCTACATCCCATCTTGCCTCCACTGGGAATCCGCACATCTGCGCATAGGTTCCGTCCGGCATGGCCTGGTAGCTGGGCGCTCCCGACAGGACGCAGCGCCGCACCCTGGCTGATGCGCCAGTTCAGCGGTTGAGCACCCACAGTTTCTGCGTGGAGGCATGGGAAGTCACGAAGGTCACAGAATGTCACAGGGTGATATGGCTGAGAATATGTCAGTCCCTAATATAACAACCAATCGCGAGGTGCTGAACAAATGAGTTTCTGCGAGCATGCACCGGTACTGTCACTGTTGAAATGTGTCAAGTCAAAAAAGGACGAGGTACAGCCAGCTAATCACCGGGATTTGCATGACTGTCAATTGGTTGCCGTGCCTGTCATTGCTGCCCTGCAAAATCCAGCGGTCTGGAACGCTGTCTGTGGTGTTGTAGGGGATGGAGATGGAAAACCTGGCTTTGCTGGAGCTGGTTGGTGGGAAGTGTCCACCTGGAGAGAAACAATATGTTATATACAATGGCACAACTTCAACGACATCCAAGGATGACCACAACATCCATCCAAGGATTTCTTGTGCTCTGTGCTCAGGCAGACCTGGTTTGTTTGGATAACATCCCATGAATTTCAGTGCACTGGGCCAAGCCACTCATCCACCAGTGTTGCTGCAGGGAAATCAATCAAAATGGCACCATTCCGAAGAGTCACGTCCTCAGTTTACATCCCAGGCAGAATCGCTATTAGGAACAAGTGCATCGCTACTAGTAACAAGCGCCTTACTAGTAGTAACAAGAAGCTATTAGAATTAGTTTTAAAATTGACCAACGACATCAATGACAAGTGCACAAGGGACGTCTGACCCTGGCAGCCAGCCTTTGAGGTCTCTTCTGCTTGTTCTGACTAGTCACCCATTTCGACACAAATTGTGCAACTCTGAGGTCACGGCAGTGAGGTCACTGAGGAAATATGTAGTGGCAGTGGACATATCTATCTGGCATGCTTGTCTGTGATGGTTCTTGCCCCTTTCACCTTGAAACATTACCCACCATGTTGCTAGAAAATCATTGAATGTGCTCCAATCTTGACCTCATTCAGAAAAAACATTCTGGAGCAACCCTTCAATCTTACATTTCTAACCACAAAGCCTCTCAAAAATGTGTCCAACAAGGTACTCGGATGAACGCGCTGAACCCATAATGGTCGTCTCAGCAGGATCGTCCTTTGTTTAAGTCTACCGTTAAATCTTCTGGCCTCCTCCTCTTGAAAGCGGAAGCGGAGCTCATTCACGGCACACCAGGACGCATTGCAGAACGGGATGAAGCGATAGTGGCCTGGACAAAACAAGGGCTGCTTGATGATCTTAACACAATGTTGGCGCAGTTCAAGAAACCATTCATTGGTGTTTAACCGTCTCCCCCGAGGTGCACACGGTAGGCAAGTTTTTGTGCAGCATCAAGCTCTAAAGCCTCAGGGAACTGTGGGCTTCGTGGGTTTTGCTTGGCGAATCTCGATGTTCCGCTGCTAGCAATACTTGAATGTATCTGTGAAAATAGAATGTTCACAGAGTCAAAACCCTACAGTTCCCATGGCATCAATGTTGTTTCGAATCATGAAGTGTGCACCGGTCGCTGCTGTAATGCTGATCTGGTGAATTGCTCCGGGGGAACAAGTGGATGGTGGGCAGGACTCTCTAACCTCCCATCCAATCTATATACTTCCCTGAATCAAGTCTAGACTCTAGACATCTCTAGACTATGTTGGGAGCCCATGAAACATGTGCCCGCAAACCTGGCGAACGGTAAACCACCAAAGGTACAGGAACTGAGCCCACTTCCCCACCTCCTACTCTGTATCTAGAGTCCCACACATAGAGGCTGGAGTTTCCGTAGCCAATGGGCTGCGCTGCAAACACTGTGCGCCTCACACATAGCATCCAAGAGGACAAAGCACGCTCTTCCATTTGTGAGGATAAATTACCTTCCATCCTGCAATCCGTACAACCTCTCATGGATTACAGTGGATCAAAACTGGTACACAGCATTCCCTCCATGTCTACGCAAGCAGGACTGAGCAGACATCCAGCGTAAATGTGCACTTCTCGATTCTCTGCCTATCTTGGTCAAAGGTGGCCACCGGCGCTGCGCCCGGCTCCACCGGGGTGCCGTCCACGGTGTGGCCCTCGAAGCTGGCTCCGTCCAAGATCTCAGGCGCAAATGGCCAGTGCGTGCAATTGGTTAGAAATTACACCCCCTTAGTCTCTAAGTACTCCAAACAAGGACCAAACCGATTGCCAGAAAGCACTTCAGCTGTTTATGACCTGAGGAGTGTTGTCCTCTTGGGAAGTGAGTGCCAAGCACACCCCAGTGCAACTTCCGCCCTATGAGGCTCTGACCAGCTGAGGAGGACTCCTGGCAGCGATGAATGTCTATGAGTCTATTAGCAGCAATCTTCGGTGCGTTCAAGATTGGTCTCTGGAAAAAAGGGACTTTCCCGCGACAGTGGAAATCTGAGGACTGGCTGCGTCCTTGATATTTCATCGTACCACTTCAAGTGATTCAAGATACAAGTTTGGAGATCAAAGGACACAGGGTAAAATGAAAGTTTGCCATCATCAAGAACAAACATTCATCCAGTTGCATGCAAGGCCCTTACATTCTGACCTCTGACTAATGCCAAGGTCTTAAACATGGCTACAGGTAAGTAGGCTGTACCAAAAAGCAGGGAAAACATGACTCCACCCCCTCAAGACGGCCTGGTGGATGCTGGGATGGCATACCTGCTGCAGAAAGTCAGCAAAAAGCAAGGGCCAAAGAGACCCTGCCATGACAAGAACTTCCTTATTCACAAAAAAGCTGTGCTCAACAAGTGAAAGCCTTCTAGGGCTGTGGTACTGCAACAGAAGCCACGACCCTCAGCACCCGCAACTGCTGCCATGACACAGGCTGCCCGTATGGGAGGTGCCCATGACCATGGGCTGCTCTGGCTCTTCATCCTGGGATGCGTCTGGACAGAGATCTGACCACCCCAATGTGGTAGCACCAAACTTGAGGCCCTAAGCCTTGTATAAACTTTGTACTGGTGTATGTGTTGGCACCCCGCAGTCCTCCCTCTTAAAGATTGCAGGATCTTCAAAACTCGCCCCATCAAATGCAAGATCTCCGAAAATTGAAGAAAGGTGGCCGCTTCCAATGTCACACTTCCCTGCATCTTCTCAGTCTGCTTGAGGCCCCCAGCCATGACCAACCCAACGATGGGCTCTGCCAGGTCGCGGTGGTAGGGGAAGGCCGCCCCTCGGCTGTTGGACAGGCCTTGCTTTTGTTGAACTTCTGGACCCGTTTCCAGATCTTCAAAAGGCTGCAGAGCAATGTATTTCTTGGACTTTGTAGCCTTTGTTCATTTCTCTATGACTAGAACTACTTGGCTTCTTGGACATCCCTGCTGACTATAGTAATTGGCAATAATCATCTCTATATATATATATATGTACTGTATATTGTGATCGATCCACGCTGAATCTGATCCACTTCTGAGCCCCACGGCGCCCTGTCAGTGCCGAGCTGGCATGGAGCCGCCATAGCCAGGTGCCATCCTGGCAGAGGTTGTTTTGTCGGCGTCGAATTCTCCTCGTTTGAAGACAAAATCGCTTCTTTGGTCAACTGTCTCGCATGGAGACTGGCCTGGCCTTCGGGCCTTTCACTAGGCGCCAAGCGGACGACCATGAAGGACGGAGGACGTTGAAGGTTGAGACTGGAACATGGACCAGGAGTTGCTTCCTTCTGTCTCACAAATTGCAATTGCCTGTCGCTCCAGAAGCAAAACTTGGGCTCAACCCCTTGCACTTGAAAGAGGCCATCGACAAATGGTACTAAGTGGAAAAGTGAAGGTCTCGCTCTCACAACTCGTTTCGAGACTCCTCGTAGATGTCACGGTGCTCAGAATTTGCCATCACCGTCTGGACCTGAAGCACAGAGTTCATTGCATGATAAACAATGCAAACATTATATAACGTGTTGTTTTAATTCTTCAAGGGGGGTAGGCCACCAAAGGTAGAGGGAGGGAGGTAGGTAGGTAGGGTAGGTAGGTCGGTGGGTAGGTAGCTAGGTAGCTAGTAGCTTACTTAAGCTACCAATATGAACGCAGTCCGCAGGATAGCTCGCGCTAATGATTTGGTTCCTGCATTTTTTAACATGTTCCATTATTGATTGACAAGAGAGAAAGGAACATCCTCTAAGTCGACATCGACATAAGTCAACCTCTGTGCACATTCTTCCACCAACCGCCTGGGGCCTTGGCCATCACTACTTGCCACCACAACGTGCGAGATCGGTCCAGCGCACCTCAAAGCGATGAAGGTGTCGTCAAAGGCGCAAAGCATCGAACCACAAAGAGGTGATGTACGGACAAAATGTTCCTGGTTTAGGAAGCCCGCTAAATATACCCCCTATATCCCCCTATAGTTTTGCAGTGCCCAGGGTGCTTAAGATTGGAACACAACGTCAACAATTCTCGAGGCAGCAAGGGCCGCAAGGCGTGCCTCCCTGAGAAGTGCCCATCCCATCTGGGCCTTGACCCACGGCCATCACAGCATCCCAAATCTCGTAGAAGCTGAAGGTACCAGCCTAAGCCAAAAAAACGACCTTCCACAGGTACAGGCGCCAGTCTTGCGTTCTGTCTGGTACATTTGTGCAAGAAATGGAGCGTGCTGCAGAAAATCTTGGGGCTTCAGCAGCGCTGCCTCCACAGAAGCCCGGCCTTGGTCCAGCTAGGCGCCAATGTTAGAGAGGTCTGAACCTGTGTGAAGGTCCGTTTAGATCGTGCCCTTCACCAGCAATTCATTGCTTGTTCATGCCATTAACCGGTACAGAAGTTTGGAACAAAAGCCTCTTTGGGCAAGGTGGAAGGTCACGATCCCACCCTACCAGATTGGGTTTCCATCTTCAAGTGTAGGTAGCTCCCTGTTTTCAACATCAAGGTCTCCCTTGGTGCCCATCTTTGCGTCTTTGGTGGCCGGGCAAGCTGCTGAAGTAGCTTGTGAGGCTTCCAAAGTCCGAGGCACTCCAGCCATCGCAGGGCCTTGAATGTGAGCTATGATAAGAGAGCAATCAACCTATATAATAGCGATGGCCTCCAACCTAATAGCCATGGCCTCCAACCTAATAGCGATGGCCTCCAACCTAGAAGCGATGGCCTCCAACCTAATAGCGATGGATGATAAGAGAGCAAAGAGAATACTGGACCCCTGTTTTGGCAGAAAACCTCTCAGCGCACTGAAAACACTGCGTCACAGAATTGCAGCCTATTCACACAGAATTGCAGAATCACTGGTCAACTTGCAAAGTGGTTTTGCAACGAACCCCCCAACCTCCTGCCATCTGCTGCTGGGTGACAGGTCGCAGCTGGTCTCCTCCAACTGTTGCCAGGCATCCAAGGTGAAGGTGGAAGGCTGAGGGCCGCGGTCAGGAACGAGACGGAAGGTTGGACTCTTTTTGGCGGTGGAACACGATCTAAGCTGCTTGAGTAAACGCATGAGCTTCCTCCTTGAAGAACTGCATCTCCGTTGATGAAAACTAGAGTCTAGTCTTCTGTATCAAGCAGTTATATATATATCCGCCGACCCCGGCCTATAGCCAAAGCCTAGGCGGGGAGGCGCCTGGGACACCGCCGGGTGAAGCAGTTGGCCAAGCCTTGCAGAACCCTTCCAAGCACTTCCAAAGGCATGTGTGCAGGTGCATTGTGGTTGGCCGCGGCCTCTCGGTGGCCTGTCCGAGGCCTGCCTCTCCTCTTGTTATGGGCTTTTCCGAAAGCAACGTTAGACACCCACGGGCCCCGCCCTCAAACCCTCCTCGGCAGCCGGCAGGCCTGCCGCGGCCTCTCTGTGGCCTGTCCGAAGCCTGCCTCTTCTCTTCGCCCACGGGCCCCGCCCGCAAACGTTCCTGCAGGCCGCAGCTTGGCCCAGAAAGCTTTTTCTATGGGCTTCCGAAGGCAACGTTAGACACCCACGGGCCCAGCCCTCAAACCCTCCTCGGCAGCCGGCAGGCCTGCCGCGGCCTCTCTGTGGCCTGTCCGAAGCCTGCCTCTTCTCTTCACCCACGGGCCCCGGCCGCAAACGTTCCTGCAGGCCGCAGC